TCAATTTAAATAGATAGGCCCAAACATCTCCTCCTGGGTGCTCTGCCTCCAGCTGGGCCTGTCACTTTCACCTTCTCGGGCACAGGGCCAGGCTGAGCACTGAGCCGCCAGGGGCCTGCACTCTGAAGCCACACCTCCTTGATTCCCTTGCAGCTATTCCATCCCAACTCCTGGCGTTAGTATTTTCTGCCTGGGAGGTGTTAGGCGCACACTAGAGCGGCCCCACAGCAATTTCTGGGCTTTGGGTTTGGACAGGCCTGGATTCTAGGCTCTGCCACTTACCAACTCGGGGAAACTTTCCAAAATTCCCTGTGCCTCAGTTTCCCCATCTGTGAGATGGTGATAAGAAATGTGTGCCACTGTTAGTATTCATGAAAAAGGGCCGCAGGAAGAAAGAACACTGCTCTCAGTACTTCTCTTAGCATCCTGTGAGACCAGAGAGTCCATTAAAAGATGAAGGAATCCAGCTAGATTTCAGTGACAGCCTCTGCTCTTACCATTGAACTGGGCCCCTGTCAGAGAAGAGCCAAGGGCTGCTGGATCTGGTGGCAGATGGCTCCCAAAGACTCCTGGTTCCTGGTTCTTTGACCAAACCCTAATCTAAGTCCTACTGTGAAGGGATTTTTCAGACCTAATTAAAGTCCCAAATTCAGTTAGCCTTAAAATATGGAGATTATCCCAGTGGGGCTGACCTAATCACAGGAGCTTTAAAAGCAGGGAGTTTTCTCAGGCTGGTCACAGAAGGAGAAGTCAGAGAGATTCAAAATATGAAAGAGATTCAGCACAAGGGGTTTCTCCATTATTGAGATGGAGGGGTAGGCATGTGGCAAGGTCCTGAGAACAGCCAGGAGATGCTGAGCAAACCCCTCCCAGCTAACCACCAGCAGGACCCCAGGGCTCTTAGTCTCACGGCTGCCAACAACCCAAAGGAGCCTGGAAGTGGGCCTTTCACTAGTCGAGCCTCCAGATGAGGACACAGCCCAGCTGATACCTTGATTCCAGCCTTTTGAGACCCAAAGCGGAGGACCCAGCTAAAAGGTGTCAGGAACCGAGATAATACCTATGTGTTGTTTGAAGCTGCTAGTTTGTGGTGATTTGTTACGCAGCAATAGCAAACCAATGCAGGCCTCTTGTAAAGGGGGTGGCACCAGGCTGTGTCTGGTGTGGGTGCTATACCGTATTTGGTTCTGACTATATAAATCGTGGACTTTTTCCTGGATCAATTCAGTGCCTGCTACCAGTGCTGCAGATAGAAAAGCTCATTTAAGACGAGAATGAACTACAGGATCACAAAAAATCTTGGTGCCCAATGAAATTCTACAACAGTGTGTGGTCTGAGAATGTAGATGACTCGCTATAGCCTCTAAATAATACTAATAGAACATAGTTCTTCCACATCCATCCTCTTCACTGTTTTAAAAAATTAAGGCCAAACAAGGTAAGCTCAGGTGCCTGGCCTTGGAGGACTCCAGGACACACAGTCTTGGGCCAGTTTTCTCTCCTCATGAAACGTGATAATGTTTGATGCCTGTTTTCTTGCTGATGCTTTCAGTGGACTGGACGTCTCAGAATCACTTTGTAATGCCTTTCCCTATAGGGATATTCCTTCCCTGGCTGTCCTCACTGAGCTGTGACCATCTCCTCTGCACTGAAAGGGGCTAAATGTTGAGCCCAACTTACTCTCCCACCATCTCCTCTCTCCTAAGTTTGTGCTCTTACAGTGGGTGCTGGCCTGGGTGGGCATGCAAAACCAGTGGCAGAAAGTGAAGATTCTCTCAAGTATGGTGCGCTTTTCTAAAATATTACTAGGACCTAGAATTAGACCTTACGAACACGAGGAACCGCAGCCACAGTTGTTTCTACAACCAGGACCCAGAACATGCGATTTGATAAAGTGGTACCGAGAAACACTGTCTTCAAGAGAAAGGAAGACCAATTTGATGTAGAAGATTCACAGGCGGACCAAGACTCTGCTTCTCTCTGAGCCTGTACAGAGACGTCAGGTGAGATCCAGAAGGTTCTTCCAGCTGGAGGTTCTTATTAGCATCAAAACAAGAACTCCAACAGCACTGCCCTGCAGTTCTGACACAGAGAGCACTTCCTCCCACTGGAGAGCTACCTGAGGATGCTTTTCTAGCTGCCCCGGACTCTGCCCAGGTAGGCTCCACCCTGCTCTACAGGTCGCTGAGCTGAGCAGAAAGCGCTGGGGAAAGGCTCACAGGCAAGCATTTTAAGGAGAATATATTATACAAAGCAAAGCAGGGTTGCTGTTTCACAAGCCCCCATTCACGCTGACATCATTTCGGGAAGGCCTTCCAGGCCCCTCCCACCGGGACACATCCCAAACGCACAGCCCGCGTGTCACGTCAGGGCTGGAGGTCGCCCTAATTTACCATCCCCCCTCCTCCCACTGACAACAGGAACGCATGAGCTGGTCTTGGTCCTCCCAGGCACCCACAGTGGGTTTGGGAAAGAGCCCTCCACATTCTTCTCACCAGCTGAGCATGTGAAGGAGGAACTGAAAAGGCCTTAGGAGCCACTGGGCCCAGAAAAACCCCCAGCCAATCTGTCACCTGCCTCCTCTGGAGAAGGGTCTGCCTGTCCATCCCGCAAATCCAGGGGCAGGTGGAGAGAGGGATGTGAGGCAGTGGGGGAAGTGAGAGCTGAGGCTGTGTCCATGAGTGTGTGTGTGTCCATGAGTGTGTGTCCACCAGTGTGTGTGTCTGTGTGCCCACAAGTGTGTACATCGATATGTGTCCGTGTCCATATGTCTATGAGGGCGTGTCCACAAGTGTGCCTGTGTGTGTCCATGAGTGTGTGCGTCGATGTGTGTGTGTCTAAGCGCAGAGACAGGGCTGGTAACAGAAGAACAGGCAAGAGGGCGTGGGAGACTGGGCCCTTATTTATAAAAGCTCTTCTGCCCTGAAGCAAGTCAAACTCCCTGCTGAGGAGCTGCTTTTCTTCCTCCCTTTTGAGTCTTCTTGCTGAACTGACCTCTCCCCCCGCAGAGGTCAGGGCTCTGCTCACCCTGGGCACCTCGCCTTCTGGTGCTGGATTGCCTTGGAAGCCCACAGAGGAGAGAATTCTTCAGCTCTAATTTCTGAGAGAAAAAAACTATAGTAAATCTCGTGAAGAAGTTTTTTTTTTTTTTTTAAAGAAATATATGCATGTTATGATCTTTGGGGAACTGTGGAAAAAACAGAAAGCAAACATGAAAACTGTACATCACCGGAGTCTCCTCCCACAGCCTGCTTCACCACCTAAAATAAATCAGGGTGGGTAATGAATGAGGTTTTAAGAAATATAACTGAACTTAAAATACAAGGTCAGCATCTCATCCTAGGTAATCCTTTAGAGGATGAGAAATTCTCCTGATTTTCCCACAGGGTTATTTCAGATGCGCTTTTTTGAGCCAAACTATTTTAAAAGCGTTCTTTCTTCCACTACCCTGCCAAATGTGAACTTGAGATTCACACGCACTTTTTGAGAGCTTATTAACGATATTAATGATCATGGATCAAAGGCAAACCCCAGACAATTATTTAGGTGCTTTAAAAACTCATCTTCTGTACGAGGGTAACAATTTCTCAGTGCTGGCAAAGATGAAGGTAGCCTCACGTGTCGGGTCTAAAGCAGCAGAAGTAACGTAGGGGGCCTTCGGGAGAAAAGAGAACACATCCCTCGTCGGATTAAAACTTACGCCTATTGATACCTTGTTGCCTAAGCCCTTCCCATTTGTTTGAAAGTAGGCCCATTTCTCATCTGCAGAAAGCCTCTCTTCTAAAGGATACTCAGCTCTTCGCAGACCCTGCCTCTTTTAACATCCAGTTAAACACACTCAAACCTCCACCCCCCAGTTTTACTTATTTTTTGGCCACGACTCACGGCTTGAGGGATCTTAGTTCCCCAACCAGGGGTCCAACCCGTGCCCCCTGCAGTGGAAGCGCGGAGTCTTAACCACTGAATGGCCAGGGAAGTCCCTACCCTCTGCTTTTAAACAATAGTTCTTAACTGTGGCATCTCATGAGAACTGGAGGAGCTTTTAAAACTGCCAATGCCTAGGCCAATAGAAGCTACCCAGGTAATTCCAATTTCAGTGTCAAGAACCCACTTTTAAACGGATGGTGAAATTAATACACGGAGTGGTACGCTTACCTCGGGGCTCTGTGGAGCCAAGTGTGGTACTTAAACTATCAGAGATTATTTGACAGATGAAGAAACTGAGGCCCGGGAGGTTAAGTGACTTCTCCCCAAATACATGAACCAATTGGTGGTAAAACAGCAGGGCTGTCAGTAGCCCCAGGCAGGCCAGGGCAGCTTTCCTGGGCCGGCCACATGGCACCCATGACCAAAACGGCCAGAAGAAACGGGCTTTGCTTTGTCGAGTGCAGCGGTTCTCAGCATTTCACGTACAGCTATTCAGATGTATTATTCCAACCTGATATTGAAATGCTTCTGAAAAATTATGTACAGGATCTGAGGGGAAATATATTTACAAGCAACCAGAGAGGCCTGGGATCCTGTCATAAAAGGCAGTGCAGAGAAAGAGTCAGCCCAGGGCTTCATTCGGTGCTGAACTAGGAGTAAATTCCCTTCGAAAATGGAAATGAGTCCACTTGGGAAATGTCAAGATCCTCTGGAAAGGAGTCAAGGTCACATCCTTTAACCCCTCATGAGAGGAGTCTATCTTGACTCACACTGGGAGCAGAAGTGGTAACATAGCTGCAGTGTAGAGGCCGCCCCAAGTCTTACGGGACAATTTAATCACAACATCCCGCACAGGGTGTTCCAGACCTAAATCTTTAGGGCCAGTGGTTCAAATGAAGAGCCCCTTTGATTATTTTAACACAGTCTTCAAAACTTCAGAATTGCTTCAAGGCGGAAAAAGTCTCCAACCAATAGAACATAATGTTACAGATAGCATGTTCAGAAAAGGGCATTTTGAATGTATATTCCTTGGGGTTAATTCACTTGCTTTAAAGAAGAGTGACATACACTAATTTACTTTTTTAAAACAATTTTACTTTTTATTCATAAAACAGGCTCATTTACACTACATACTAGTTTCATCCCCTAGGCGTGCACAACTATTTGAACTATTTTAGCAGTTTAAACAAAACAAATGAGAGGATAAGGCTAACGGGAGAAGGGAGCTCTCCTGGTGATGCCTGCAGTGTTTGGCTTTCTACCTTGACTGAAGAAAGTTTCTTCTGGGGATCTGTCAAATCCATACCTTTAGTTGCCTGGTCAGGTGCTTGGGGACCAAATGTATGGTTTCACTGATTTTTGTTTAATTAACAAGATTTTTGATAAGTAACTGTAACAGCAATCATCAGATAATATCATGCTGCATAATACAACTTATGTGATTAAATCCAACCCCGGTGCTGAGCAGTTCTCGACAATTAAAGGCAATAATTTCATCCACTCAAGTTTCCTCTGTTAAGCTACATGTTGACATGTATTTGTTCCTTGTCTTGTTGAGTAAACACAGAAACCAAATTAGAGGGAGTTCTGCAGATTTCTGAGAATTTAATTACATCATAAATTGTAACACCAATGATATACATGGTTAGACTTCTGCCCTGAGTGATTTTCTGAATTAACTTCATTTTACAATGCCTAATTTATTTTGTACCAAGGAAGACTTTAAACTGTTTAACAGAAATCAGCTTAACTTTGATTTCTTACTTGTTGCAACGCGTTTCAATTCATTTGTGTTTCAATAACAAAGTTTGAACTCTCTTGTCTTGACAAACCAAGCATGGAAATTTCCTCATAAAAGAAGAAATTAAAAGGATTTCCATACTCAAGCCATAGCACAGTACACTGAAAAGAGAGGTTCTGGCTCTTAGGAAAGCCAAAGGAAGGCCACTCACCAGAATTCCGTGGAGATATTACAGTGGGTCCTGCCAAGAAGGAATTCAAGGAAACTGGGAACGGCGACACTGTGATCCCAGGCCACTCTCTTGGGTACAGAGGTTTCCTTCCCTTACGTGCTCTGCTCTCTCTGAGCTCTTTCTGAAATCAAAAGCCACTGATAGGCACAACAATTCATGCTAAAGTCCAAACATGACACTGAGAGCAAACAAATTAACTGTGATCCCACTGTTGTCCCCAAGATATACCCTGAGATACTCATTCAGAAAGAAGCTATAGTCTCCAAAAATCAAAATACAGAGAGTGTTCGTGACTCTTCCTTTTTATAAAATGAAATACATTTTTCCTATTTTTTTTCATTTAAAATAAGTGAGCACAAAAGCTGCAGCATTTACTCCTCTCTCCCCAAACGTTTGCTCCTTTGCATTTAGCAATTTACATGCATATCTGGATGACAGTTAACCTCCAGAGGCAAAGAAAAGAAAAATGTGTAAGAAAAGTCACTCTGACTGTTCTCAGACATTTGCGAACATTAAAAAAAAAAAACAAAAAAAAAAACCCCACCACCAATCTATTAAAAAGTCATTTGAAAGCACTTGGAGGTGACGTAGAAGCCATGACATCGAGAAAGTTAGGGAGTTCAAAGTTATAACATTAATCAAATTGGACCCATAGCATCAGACTTGGATTCCAAGCATTAGACTTACGGGAACTTGACTATACATTTAATTTGCTTTATGAAGTAAGTGGTTGAAGAACTTATTCTTTTTAACTAAGAATACTGACAGGGTCTCAGATTTTCAGATGCTGGAAATTATTAAGATTATTAAGAATATCAAAACACACCCACTTCTGGCAGTAGAGAACCAACTCTTCATTTCCCACCTAGTAAGCAACAAAAAAACCCTGGCAGCCCATTTTCCACTCCGTACTTCCAAATATCCAAAGAATCAAAGAACCACTCAAGTACCAAGAGATCCAGGGGTGTTTCAGACATGTGGAAGGAAAATGCTTAAAGGTAAAATTCCTCAAACACATGCCTTATTGCGGAAGCAGAGAGCTGTTCCCTCTGTTAATCCTGATAAAAATCCCACGTACATGATGGCTGCGAGAAAGACCCTATCTATCTACAGCCAAGGGTGCTATTTTCCCTCTAGATCACAGTCATTGTTATTTCCACAAATATACCAAACTCTAAAACAAGTCTTTTCTTGAAGGACGATCACTAAGCGTGTAAGTATTGGCTTTAACCACCAGGCCTAGGTTAACTAATGAAATAAAAACTCGATAAAAACTTTCTCTGGTGCCTCCAGTTCAAATATCTCCTAGTTCTGGGGTAGGCAGCAGCTATTGGAATGGCTCTTTTTAATTCCAGACTCTTCCAGGGAGCTCATTGTTTCTTGGCCTATTCCCTGGGTTATTATTTGTGCCCTCTCTGCTTAAACTGTTCCAATAATTGTTTAAGAAGATTCAGTGACACACTGTGGTCCTGTCTTTAGTGAAGAGCACACCGAGAATACGCATCGCTCTGAGAGAGGGGCCCAGGATGGGCCATGTTCTACCACCTTCTCAGGAGGTTTCCACCCTGTGTAGTCTGCCCCTACTGGAGGAGCAGAATCTGCTCCACTGTGGTTGGTATTCTGTTGGGCTCCCTTTCCTATAGAATCCTATGACTGGAATCACCTGGGGCAGGAAAAAAGCTAAGTGGGAAGAGGAAGGGGTATCAGTGGGCGGGGCCATGTTCCTGGTGGGGGTGGTGAGGCTGGGACCATAGGAAGGGAACAGGCTACCAGAAGAGTCTGCAACATCAAAGGGCTAGCACTTGTATCCACAGCCAGGTATGGCAAGCAAGACTTAGCTTCATGACACAAAATGATGCCATGAAATATGGTTGCCTCTTAATGAGCCTTGCCCTGCAATCTAAGAGGGGAAAGGAGAGTGGGGAAGGACACAATGAGCTGGGAGAAACCACTAATTAATCTTAAGCATGAACTTACACTGTGTCTACTTCCATATTCTTTTATATTGTTGGGCTTTTTCTGGGTTATTTTTTGCTAACTCCTACACTTTGGGGAATATACTTGATTTTCCTTGTTACTAGGGAGGTACTACTTCAAAGGACCACCCAATGTTGAGCAGGAAAAAAGATGCATTTGATGGGTGGCCTCTGCATATGGTTTCTTCCTTATTTTAGAATGAAACTGGGTTAAGAAAATCTACTGTAGGTGTCCATCCAAAATAAGTCATTGCTATGATTCACTATGTGACATTTCAGCAAGCCCACTGGAGACAACAGTGGGTGATACTGCAGATGGAAGGCTCCTGGTTTGAAATTTAAACTGCCTGTGAAGCCTTCCAAGTGGAAAACCGCAAACTCTGGCCACTGAGTTCCACTTGGGTTCTTGTCCGTCCTGAACTTAAACCAGAATCTTAGAGGTGGCGGCAAGGGCAGGGACATGCCTGAGCTACAAGCAAGAACAAGCTTCTCCCACATCTTCCCCTAATGTTGGGCTGAATTATATGTAAATGTCCTGCAACTCTTAGGATAAAGTCACAGCTCCCTGGGCTCTGTGGCCGCCCTGCTTAAGAACCTGGGAACAAAGTGACTCATACACTGAACCCAGGTGCTTTACAGGTTGGAGGGGGCATGACGGGTGCCTGTCCACACGTGGGCCCCTGCCGATGCGCTGGAGGCCACAATTGCCAGGCTGGAGGGAATCAACACTAGGGAGTCTCCAATTAGCCCGGTGGTTCTCGAACCTGGGCAGGTTTCAGAATCCCCCAGAGTTTCTCATTCTGTAGGTCTGGGTGGGACCCAGGCTCTGCATTTCTTCCACAGATTCAGATCATGGTGCTGGTGCCACAGGCAGACAGTGTGAACTGCTAGCCTGTTCCTCCAGTGCTGGCTGCCCTCCTCAGGCTGAAGGGCAGGAGAACTGACCAGCAGCATTGTGGCCCATCGTGTGGTCTGTACATGGATGTGACAAGGAAGCACAAGATTGTTTTCTTCATGCGGTTCCTTCATGGACACTGTCACTGCCAACAAAGCGAGTGGCTATTTATCGTTAAAGTAAATTTCTGAAGACAGTTATAAAGTGTGAATGAGAAAGTAGCAATGCTGTCAGAACAAGCACGTAGGCTCCTGGAGGCCGCTGCTTTGAAAGCTGACCCCAACGCAGGTATGTATTTTGTATTTGAAACAATCATTTGAATTCCTTTAAAATCACGGCATCGAGACACACTGCTCGTTTGTCACAGGCTTGGCCACTACATCCTCAACTACGAGTTTGCAATCTTCTTCCGTAAGTTAGTGGCCTCTTTCGTACTTCTTTCTTTTCTTGCTTGGGCTGCCCTGAGTCGTAGCTAATCTTTCAGTGTTTGTGGCTGAGCCAGTTTGCCGTGCCTGCCCTGGCTTATTTTTCGTAAGATGTCTGGAGGAGAGATTTTCCAAAGCATGCAACTCTTCATTAGACGCAGTTTCTGCCAAATCTCGTTTCAAAAGTAACCCCGGATCTGACAGCTCTGAAGTTGGCAAAACCTTGACAGCTTTGCTTTTTTTCCACTATTATTTCCCTTGGGACTAATCGATCACTTCCAAGAGAAGCTCTCTTGCGGTGGTCGGCGTCTTCTACAGAGCCGCGGTTCCTGCGTTTCTGTTGTGCTCTGGCCCCTCGTGGACTTTGTTTTGGACCCGGGAATGCTGACTCACAGCTACAGACAGGGCTCCCGCGAAGAAGCCCCGTCTCTAACCGCGTCCCAGGATGAGGTTTCTGCTGGCTGCTGGTGCCTTCTGGCGGGGGCTGATGAACTTTCTCCAGCTTTGGAACAGGAAGCCCCCGGTGGCTCTCAGCTGCCTTTATGTAAGCCTTCGCCTGTCCCTTGGACGGGGGACCGGATGGGGCCTGGCTGTCCCCCCTCTTCCGTGCTACCTCCGCAATCACTGAGTCACTGGATGTTCCCACACTGTTCCTGCTGCTCCGTGATTTGCTCACGATGCTCCTTTTTGTTTCAGTTCTGTTCACACTAAAACAAAGAAAGATTTTTTTGTTTTGTAAAGCTGTAATGGCCAGGTTTCCTCCAGGTCCCCCTTGTCACACTTCTTACACTTGAAGCAGGACGCATGTGCTACTCTCCCTTCTCCTCACCCCTTGGCCAATCTAGGAAAATCCCCAAGTGTATATTTACATGCAGACCAGATCAAGCAAGAGCCATCACATTTTCCAGTACACAAGGACACACTTTATTTATCGATCACTGGGTTATCAATGGAGTTATGATGGAGTTCATATTTTAACTAAGGCTGAGAGGCATTCATTTCAGATGTTAAAGATCAATATTGCCTACATTTAATACATTGATTTTTTTCCCAGAAGTAAATGCTCAAATACATCCAAAGCACAGGCTCTGTGTGTGTGTGTGTGTGTGTGTGTGTGTGTGTGTATAAGAACATGCTTGTACATACACAAACTCCCTTTCTACAACACACATACAACTGATAATGTAAACTGCACTCTAAGTAAGTGTGCAATTCACTTGGAGGAGCAGGATAGAAGCTGCCCAGGGAGAATTCAGAGACTGGAGCCTTGTGAATGGCAAGGAGTTTCTTAAACCACCAAACCCGAAATATTGAGACTAAAATATTTCTTTAGCCTAAGCTTTAGTCTGGGAACCAATACGTATGTCTGTGTTCTTACTGTTGCTTTGAGGGGCCCGAGGATTATCACAGTGACACGAGGGTCAGAACAGGCACCTTAGGAAAGGAGTGTATTTTTTCAGATCTGTCTGGGGCTGCTCGGAAAGTTGTACGAAATACCCTCAACAGGTGCTTTTCATCTTCAAGGCGCTTGTCATTAATTACTCTCTGCAACACACCTATGAAGCAAGGCCTTGCTCCCCACTGTCCAGAAAGTGAGAGAAAAAGAGTTTGGAAGGAGGAAAAGCCAGTCTGTGATTTAGAGTAGGGTCAGCGCCAGAGGGGCTTCTGTGATTAGGGTCCGAGCACTCCTGCTGAATTCTAGACCTCGTGTTATGTGCCAACCCATACAGACAGTCCAGAGGGAGGAAAAGGAAACTCATGGGACCTACAGGTCTTGCAGAGCGTTTCTCCTGAGCTCTGTGCCAGGAAGAAGCGGCCTCTCCATGCATGCAGCACGATCCTCCGACGCTCCTTGGAGAGCTCTTCCCGGCTATTCCAAAAGATAACAAAAGTTCAACCAGAAATCTATTAGCTGAACAGGAGGGAAAACAGTTCCACTCCAAATGCCCCGGTGAGCAGATTTCATTTGGTGAGGACTGGATGTAACTACGTCATGTTAAGCTTTTCTAATGTTTTTTAGTTTAGAAATTTTGGGTAAATTGTCACTTCCCTTGGCTTCCCAGCACATGTTTCATACATGAACGTGCACCACAAACGTGCAAGATGGTGATTCCAAGACATCTGGGAACTCTCGTCCACTATCTGATATCTCTGTGGCCCTGTGACGACGCCCCAGGGTCAGTAGCCAGGCAGCCGTGTGACTGTGGGCCTGACCTTCCGGAGAGACCTGGTGGCACAGTGGTCTGTACCCTGATTAGCCTCAGAATTCTTACATTTTCTCTATTGACAAAAATGCAAAATATGGCTTTTGCAATACTCAAGACAGTGTCAAGAGTTAAGCCTTTCAATACGGGTACTTTGAAAACTGGAGTTTGTAATCTTGGTTACTAAAAAACTGGGAGGTTTTTTTTTTTTCCTTAAACTGACAGCACTAACATGGTTTTAGATAATTCTTAGGTAATCTATCTATCTATCCTTATATATTCCCATGGAAGCTTCATAAGGAAGCAATTATAAAACGTAAAAACCTCCCAACCATCACCAACATTGACCCATTTCTTACTTTTGGAAAGTTGTTTCCTTTTTGTTAGCATGTAGATCATTCAGAAAAGGTGTTAACTTCTTTTATTTTCTGGTACGTTTCTAAGTACCCTTCTCCAGCCAATTCCACAGTAAAATGTTGCTGCTACAAGGAATGGTGTTGGTAAGGTACCAGTAGGTCCTAGCTTTAGACCTACACTGGAATTAAGAATGACAGCCCCAGAGAGCCTGGTAGGCGGCAGCCAGCAGTGTGATGCCCGGGTGTCCCACAGAGTGATGCCATGAGCTTCGTACAATCACTGCCCTGAGCCACTAAGTACCAGCCTTTAGCTCTCACTAACTCTGCCTATGGTTCAGACCTGGACCAATGTCACTCAGAGTCATGTCCAGTTATGACCCAAGTCAGTTTGAAGAGTCAGTGAATAGAATACAATAGGTTTTATTGGATTATACTGCATTTTGATGCTTGTCCCTTTTCTTTTCCCTAAGACTTACTAGATGACTAAAAAGGACTAGTTTAAAAGTTAAATGACAGAGAAAGAGATTGAGATTTATGTGTGAAACACTTCTAAACATGCCCTATAAGTACAGTAGATCTCCCCCTTACAACCACACCCTGTAAGTGCTGTATTTTCAGAGCTGAACAATTAACATAAGGAGCATGAGTCAGGCTTTGAACAACTCTGTGGGAACCAGAAAGCCTTTTGCTATTAGGAATGATGTAAATTCCCCAAGGCTGGAAGAAGTCCACAATGGAGGCAGACAGGGTCATAAATAACAACAATGGATACTGCACAGACCACATAACATATGATGCTGTGATAGTGACACTCTTTGCATCTCATATTCGATTCAACCGCTGCCTTTATTTATTTATTTATATATTTTTTAAGCTTAGAGAGCACTCTGCATTTCCTATGGGAACTTCAAAAACATCTCTAAAAAACAAAGGACAATCGACTCTCCTCCCGAAGTCCTCTGACAACAAACAATGGGGGAAATGTCCTTGGAAGAAAACAACAACAGAAAGAGTGACAGTGTGACAGAAGGAAATGTCCAGCTCAAAACGTACAAAACCTGTGACTTCGTGTTTAAAAAAAAAAGAAAGAAAGAAGGAAAGAAAAGAAAAAGAACAAAGAAAAAGGTGAGGCAGAGTCTCCCGCTTCCAAATTAAAACCACATTTGGCAATTTGTTGAAGGAGGCATATTTACATTTGTATGAAGACTGGGTGGGCAGGGGAGAAAGGAGATTAGACTCCTTCAGCCCCTGAACTGTCAGATCTCATTAGAAATCTCTCACTCTTACATTTTAGGGTTAATTCACTCCCCTTTGTCACTAAATCGCAGCCTCCGGTGCCCCCCAAACAAGTATTCCAGAGGAAGCAGCTACCACCTCGGAGCAGGACTTCCCAAGGGACTTGTCCTGATTACTAATGGCTTCTCACATCTGGCATCAAAATGCAACCGTGGCTTATACAGAAGCAAAAGTCTTAAGGCTGAGGTGGCAAGTGCCTCCAGGGCTTACCCGGATGACACTGCTGCTTTTCCGATTCTGTGTGACTAACGACCCTGACATCTTCTGCAAAGAGTACAGACAAACCCAACATATTCAAGAAGGCTATGGGCAGGCCATCCAAAGTCCAGAGTGAGCACTGCACGGGGACTCAGGATTTAAGAAACGGGTTAACCAAGAGGATTGCTATGGGTCAGCATCAATCATCAATGATTCTTCACAACCTGGACTCTAGCTCTGAGTCTAGCTAAGGAAGAAAATGCTGCAACTATCTTTCCCTGGTCACCTCTCCCCCCATTTATTTATTTACCTTTGGTAATACTTTTGGTTTTGGTTTTAAAAATGGCCACCTGTAGGGACTTCCCTGGTGGCACAGTGGTTAAGAATCCACCTGCCAATGTAGGGGACACGGGTTTGATCCCTGACCCGGGAAGATCCCACATGCCGTGAAGCAACTAAGCCCGGGCACCACAACTACTGAGCCTGAGCTCTAGAGCCCGTGAGCCACAAATACTGAAGCCCACGCGCCTAGAGCCCATGCTCCACAAGAGAAGCCACTGCAATGAGAAGTCCGCGCACCACAACGAAGCGTAGCCTCCGCTCGCCGCAACTAGAGAAAGCCTGCATGCAGCAACGAAGACCCAACACAGCAAAAAATAAATAAATGAAATAAATAAATTAAAAATAAAATAAAATAAAAACGTCCACCTGTAAAGGTGTGTCTATATACATACAGTTCCAGGGAGCAACCAAACCGAAGTGGAGCAAGGCCACCGGCCCCAGAAGTCTAATTAGGGAGATACCCTCCTCAGCAGCTTGAGCAGCCCAGGCAGGCACCCAGAGCAAGGGGTCAGGCCCGCCTCCATTCCTGGGGATGCTCTGGAAACCAGTGGATGCACCGCATGTCAAGGACAGCCAAAGCCCATGCGCCCCAGCACAGGTCCAATGGGGAGGCAGAGCAGGTGAGTGTCTAAGGGTGATGGGGGTGGGTATTACCCCCAATGCTGTCTGGTCTGACCTGGGAAACATATTTTAAATTCCTGGACAGAAAGGACTACAAAGAGAATACCCACCAGAATGAGCTGGGTTGAAATGTAGTTAGAAATACTAGTGGATGTTCAAGTTACAAAGCAAGTTGCAACTGTGGATAAACCAAGGATTCATTCACTCCACAGTGACTTACTGAGTACTACTTCTGAACAGAACACTGTTGGATTAATGAGGGATGGGGAGTGAAGGTGGCCTAAAAAAGACATTAAAAATACCCGCTCTTAAGTTTCTATCCTCCTCAAGGAGTCCATAAAACATACCCAGGCCTCCCAAAGGCTAGTGGGAAGATTAGCTGTTATCAGAGGCACAGAGGGATTTTCAAAAATATTGATTCTTGGGACCCATCCCTGGAAGTTCTGAGTCACAAGATCTGGGGTGGGGCTAGGAGATCTATATTTAGGCTCCCAGGTGATTCAAGGACTACTGATGTGCATGAAACAAAGCTCAAGAGAGCAGAGCAGCAGGTACACAGATGTAAACTGGCACGCCAAGGCAGCATCGGGCAGAGAGCGGCCCAGGTATGCAGCATCAAAATCACCTGGGGAGGGCTTCCCTGGTGGCGCAGTGGTTGAGAGTCCGCCTGCCGATGCAGGGGACACAGGTTCGTGCCCCGGTCCGGGAAGATCCCACATGCCGCGGAGCGGCTGCACCCATGTGCCACGGCCGCTGAGCCTGCGCGTCCGGAGGCTGTGCTCCGCAATGGGAGAGGCCACGTCAGTGAGAGGCCCGCGTACCGCAAAAAAAAAAAAAAAGAAAAAAAAAATCACCTGCGGAGCTTGTTCAAAAATGTCCAGGATTCTACCCCAGAATCTACTGCATTTGGGTTTCGGGGCTGAGAGGGTGGTGGGATCAGGGCACGCACATTTTAGCAAGTTCCCAAGTGATTCTGATACCCGGCAGAGTTAAACTTCTGTTCTTAGGGGCACGGAATTGAAAACCAAGCAGAGTCATCGAATCAGGCACCACTGAACTCTGCACCAAGCATTGTCTGAGGTCCTTGCAGACACGGACATGGACCCTCAGAAAATGTTCTTCCTCTCATGGAGTCTCCATCCCAGTGGGGAAGACAACAAACAAAAAACCATACAATGTCAGGTGGTGATGATGTTATGAGGAGAAATGAACCTCTAAAGGGTTGCTGGGGTGCAGTTTTACATACAGTGGTCAGGGAAGGCTATGGGAGGTAACAAGGTAAGCTCTACCCACAGACCTGAGTGGAGGATGGGCTGCACAAGCACCTGAAAAGAGCATTTCAAACCTGGGGAGGGGTCAGGGAGCAGGTAAGAGGTGCGTGCATGTGTGTGTGTGTGTGTGTGTGTGTGTGTGTTGATGATGGTAAGGCCATTGGAAGGTTCCAAGAAGAAAAGTGACTTGGTATTTTAAATGGATCACCTTGGGTATAACAGAGGGACAAGGGTGGAAGCAGGGAGACCAGTGATGAGGATACTGCAATGGTCCATTCAAGGATGGTGGGTCTTGGAGGAGGCAGGTGGTAGTGAGAAGTAGTTTGACTGGAAATACAATTTGAAGGGAGACCCAACAGAATAAGCTGATGGCTTGGATATAGAGAGTGAGCGGAAGAAAAAAGTCGAGGATAACTCCATGATCCGTGCTTTAAACAACTGGATGAAGGAAATCACCCTTTACCAATACAGGAAGTACTGGGGGGGGGGGCGGCCTTGGGGAAGTTAAACCGAGAAATGCATTTTAGGTATGTAAGCTTTAAGAGCTGTCCTGGATGAAGAATGGAGATGCTGAGCAGGTGG